GAGCCCGCCTCTCCCTCTCCGTCTGCCTGCCACTCTGCCTACTTGTGCTCTTTCTCTCTGTCAAGTAAATAAATAAAATCTTAAAAAATACACTACTGGGACTACATCAAAATAAAAGGTTCTACACGGCAAAGAAAAGCATCAACGAGACTAAAAGGCAATCTACTGAATAGGAGAAGATATTTGCAAAAGATATATCTAATAAGGGGTTAATATCCAAGGTAAAGAATGTATACAACTCAACACCAAAAAGACCCTAAACACCTCAATTTAAAAATGGGCAGAGGATCTGAATACACATTCTCCAAAGAACACATCCAGATGGCCAGTAGACACATGTAAAGATGCTCAGCGTCAATCATCATCAGGGAAATGCAAATCAAAACCACAATGAGATACCACCTCATGCCTGTCAGAATGGCTAAAATCAAAAGACAAGAAATTGCAAGTGTTGGGGAGAATGTGGAGAAAAAGGAACCCACATGCACAGTTGATGGGAATGTAAATTGGTGCAGCCATTGTGGAAAACAGTATAGAGGTTCCTCAAAAAATTAAAAATAAAAATACCGGGGCACCGCTTTCCAAGCTACCTGGGGAAGGGTCCATATGGCGTTGTTTTGCGTTCCCGTCGTAACTTAAAGGGAAACTTTCACAATGTCCGGAGCCCTTGATGTCCTGCAAATGAAGGAGGAGGATGTCCTCAAATTCCTTGCAGCAGGAACCCATTTAGGTGGCACCAACCTTGACTTTCAAATGGAACAGTACGTCTACAAAAGGAGAAGTGATGGTATCTACATCATAAATCTGAAGAGAACCTGGGAGAAGCTTCTGCTGGCAGCTCGTGCCATTGCTGCCATTGAAAACCCAGCTGATGTCAGTGTCATATTGTCCAGGAATACTGGCCAGCGAGCTGTGCTGAAATTTGCTGCTGCTACCAGAGCCACTCCTATTGCCAGCCGCTTCACTCCTGGAACCTTCACTAACCAGATCCAGGCAGCCTTCCGGGAGCCGAGACTTCTGGTGGTTACTGATCCCAGGGCTGACCACCAGCCTCTTACAGAGGCATCCTATGTTAACCTGCCTACCATTGCTCTGTGTAACACAGACTCTCCTCTGCACTATGTGGACATAGCCATCCCTTGCAACAACAAGGGAGCTCACTCAGTGGGTCTTATGTGGTGGAGGCTGACCAGGGAAGTTCTGCACATGCGTGGCACCATTTCCCGAGAACACCCATAGGAGGTCATGCCTGATCTCTACTTCTACAGAGATCCTGAAGAGATTGAAAAGGAAGAGCAGGCCGCTGCTGAAAAGGCTGTGACCAAGGAGGAATTTCAGGGTGAATGGACAGCTCCAGCTCCTGAGTTCACTGCTACTCAGCCTGAAGTCGCAGACTGGTCTGAAGCCATGCAGGTGCCCTTGGTGCCGATTCGGCAGTTCCCTACTGAAGACTGGTCTGCAGCTCCCACTGCTCAGGCCACTGAATGGGTAGGAACAACCACTGAGTGGTCTTAAGCTGGTCTTCCACAAAGGCAAACAAAATGGAAATAGAAATGGAAAAGGTTGACGGAAAATAAACAGTTTGTAAAAGTCGAAAAAAAAAATACCGGGTCACCTAGGTGGCTCAGTCGGTTAAGTGACTCTTGGTTTCGGTTCAGGCCATGATCTCAGGGTCGTAAGATCAAGCCCCCATTGGACTCTGTGCTCAGTGTGGAGTCTGCTTGAGATTCTCTCTCTCTGTCCCTCCCCCCACTTGCACACACACACTCTTTCAAGTAAATAAAATATTTAAAAATAGAAATACCTATATGACCTGTTAATTCCATTGCTGGGTAGTCCCCAAAGAAAATGTAAACAGTAATTTGAAGGGTATGTGCACCCCTATGTTTATTGCAGCATTAACAACAATAGCCAGGATGTGGAAGCAACCTAAGTGTCCACTGATAGATGAATGGATAAAGTGTTATAATAGTGTTTACACAGTGGAGTACACTGATCAGTGGTTTGTCTGCGGTGCAATTATTGCTAAAAAGTGGTACACACACACACACACACACACACACACACACACACACACTGGAATATTACTCAGCCATAAAAAAGGAATGAGGTCTTGCCATTTACAACATCATGGACCTAGTGGGTATTATACTAAGAGAAATAAGTCTGACAGAGAAAAATACCACAGGATTTCATTTATATGCAGAGTCTAAAAAACAAATGAACAAACAAAAAGCAGAAACAGAGCCATAAATGCAGAGAACTGATGATTGCCAGAAGGGAGAAGTGTGGTGGGATGGGCAAAATGGGTGAAGGGTAGTGGGAGGCACAGACTTCCAGTTATAGAATGAATATGTCAGGAGGATAGAAGGTGTAGCATGGGGAATATAGTCAATGGTATTGTAATAACATTGTATGGTGACAGATGGCAGCTACGTTTGTGGGGAGCACAGCATAATGGATAGAGTTGTTGAATCACTATTTGTATGCCTGAGACTAGTGTAACATTGTGTTTCAACTAAACTTTGATGTAAAAAAAAAGATGAAAATCATAAGATATATTTACAGTACTGTATTTATCAAAGAAAATTCATGTAAAATTGGACCCATGCAGTTCAAACACCTGTTGGTCAAGGGTCAGCTGTATATACAAAATTAAACAATAAGGTGATGCTTTTTTCACTTATAAGACTGTCAAAAATTTGAAAGTTTCATAATACTCAATATTGGTGAGTGTAAGTGTGAGTAAGTAGTAACTCAAACTGTAGGAAATAAACTAATGCAACTACTCTGGAGGGCAATTCAACAGTACCTATAAAAAATGTAAACGAATATCGTCTTAGACTCAGAAATTCTATCCCAGGAGCAAATATTCTTACACAACTGTGCAAAGGTCTATGAATAAGACCATTCACTGCATACTTGTTTATAGTAGTGATTCAAATATTTATCACAACCACAACTTGTTATAGCATACCCTTACAATGGAGTACTGTGCAACTGTTAAGAATTAGGTAGTTCTATTTATATTAATATGGAAAGCTCTTCACAATATAGAGTTAATAGAAAGCACAGGAATAGAAGAATAGTATGTATAATAATTCACCTGCGTAAGAAAAAAGTATACATGTTTATATATGTGAGTATGTGTGTTTATAGGCCCATAATTATTCATCTAAAACCCTTGAGACAAATAGTCCTTGAACCTAAAACTTCTTTGGATTTTAGAAAGATCTTGTTTTGGAATTTGAATTTTTTAAAGAGAGCAAGTAGTTACATCATAGGCAGCACCCCATAATCAATTAAATTAGTATTTATGCTTTGAGAAGTATTTACAGGTTAAATGATAAAATGTATGGGAGGAGAGGCAAAGAGTTTGGGGTACATACATTAAATAAGATTGGGGAAAGAATTATTGAAGCTGTTTGGTGGATAAATGGTCTTTCATTTTATTATCTACTTTTACATCTTTTTGAAGTTTTCCATAATAAAAGTTTAAAGATCTATTTCTGGAGTGAATTTTTGTAAATATTAGCAGGGTAAAGTTGGATAAAACATTAATTAGCCTTATCAGGTCAGATTTTGCTGAGGTCAGATCAATTAGTGATTTTGCTGCCACATCAATCATGGAAAATCTTTGTTTTCAAGGCATTTTGGATTTTGGAATTGTAAAGAAAGAACCTAAAACTCCACAATCTATATAGAAAGTTTCTTCTCATATTTACACCTAGGTGTTGGAGGTTGGGAGATATAGAAGAGGGAAGAAAGTTTTGCTTTTTATTTTCTACCTTTTTGTAAGCCTGAATTTTTCAAGTTTTCAGATTAAAAACTTTACATTGAAGAAAATCACTGAGACATTGTCATCTGACTATTGTCTGCCCAATTTTATTCAATACTGAATAGTTGCAATATGCTATATGCTTTAAGTATTGAAAGTATTATAAATCATATGTACAAGGATATGCATTTAACCCATCATACACTTTGATCATAAATTTCTTTACAACACTAATATGTAAAACTGACAGTAGCATATAGTTAATTTTTAAATGCTCGAGTTTGTGGTTTGTACATTCTTGGTCTTTAATCCTGTACTGACTTTCACTATAAGATCCAGGTTTCCTTCCAGATTTAAGGTTTTACAACTGACTTAAGTAATGAAAAACACTGTATCAGTGAAGGACATTTTATTTTTGTAATTGTGGTAAAATATACACACAAAGTTTAGCATTTTCACCATTTTAAGTATATAGTTCAGTAGCATTAAGTACATTTACATTGTTGCACAATCACCACCACCATCCATCTTTAGAACTTCTTTCACCTTGCAAAACTGAAACTCCTGTTAAACAATAACTTCCCATTTCCCTCTCCCCTTAGCCCCTGAAAATCACCATTCTACTTTCTGTCTCTATGAATTTGACTACTCTAAGTAGCTCATGAGTGAATCCTATAGTATTTGTCCTTATATGATACTGTCAAAGTCTTGAAGAGACTAATATTGTCAATATTAACTCTTGAAGAATTTATGATTAAAGCATAGGATTTTGTTTATGTTGTTTTGGGTTTCGTTGTTTATATACTTGGGCGTGACTTATTATAGTAAAAATATGACATTTTTCACTTAAATAGGTTGCAGGATATTAGGAAGATTTCTTTACTCAGTTCTGTTTTATTAAGAAACTAATAAGGAATGGATTCTTGATGTGAATGCCTATTCTGAACTATTATTTATTATTCCATTACTTTACCACATGCTGTAATAAGACAAGCAACATGATTTACTTAAGAGCTCTTACCCCAGAGTTCTATTGTTCCTATTTACCACAGGTGTTTTTCAGCAGTCCATAGTAAAAAATAAACATGGCACTGAACAAGTTAGTCTAGTTGTGAAAACTGTCATGACATTCATTCTCCTGTTTTTCACTGTATTTTTATCAGGTTATGTATTTAGAGGAAAAATCACCTTAGAGAAAATATTTATGTGTCATTTTTTGAAGGTTACAGTCTTCTTCCTCCCTTGATGACTCAAGTCCAACAGATTTAATGAAAGATTCTCATGCTATCAACTGCAGGAAAGTAAGTCCAATAAGTAACATTCATGACGTAAGTGGGTGAAATTTGCTCCTTAATTATTTCTTTTGAGAAAAGATGCCATCCTATAAAATGAACTCTTCCCATGTTTTCAAGAGGCAATGTAGAATAGTGGTTGACCGCAAAGTTGCTGGGCATATACTGTCTGGGTCCACGTTGTGACTCGGACACTTACTGCTAGGTAACCTCAGGCTTGTCATTTAAACTCTGTGCCTCAATTTCCTCATCTGTAAAATAGGGACAGTAATAGCACCAAACTCAGAGTGGTGTGTGAATTAAGTGATTTGATACAAAAACAAAAACTTAACAGTGCCTGGTACATAATATGTGCTCAATAAATGGTAGCTATGATACTATTTTAAAGGGTTCCAATTCAGTGGATTAAATGTACTCCTTATGGTCTGGAAAAAAATTTTAATGCTATAAGCTACAAGTATTACATACTGTTTAATTCAATTTAATAAATACTCCGTTATTCAAAGTACATTGTTGCATATACAAAATTGACTAAATATAGTGGTAAATATCTGAAAGAGTCACATACAATATAGTTCTAATGTATCCCAGGCAACAAAAAGATCTAAAGTAGGCCTATAAACAAAGTGGTATAAAAAAAAAATAGAAAAGAGAAATTAAATCTGACCAGGGACAAAAAGGAAATTGAAAGAAAAAAACATTTTTATACAAATGTCATGTGTCTTTTGGTCTAGTATTTAGCTTTTGCTCATACATTTAGCCAGTGTTTATTAGGTACCCATTTTGTGCCAGACAATAGGCTAGAAGGAGGGACTTAAGTCGTTCCAACATAATCTCCAAGTAGTATACATTATGTAGACATTTTGTAGATCAAGTTCATCAACTTAATAAAACAATATAGGTAAATGATGCATTTTTTTTCCACCAAGCATTATTGCATTTATTTAGTGTTCAAAATAAGGTTTAAGGTTTAATACCATACATTGCTTAAGGGTATTTATATAGATGCTAAAATTATAAAAGCAAAAAGAAAATTATTAACCTAAAACTCAAGATCGTGGTTACTTTAGTAGAAGAGGAAAGGGGATGTGATCAGAGGACAACTTCCAAGCTAATAAGTTGTCAGTAATATTATATTGGTAAATGATGTATGTTGATGAGCTACATGAACTATTGAATTGTTTGGTCTGTAACTGTGTAACAGTATGATAACTATTTGGAAAAGCCTCTAGTTTAATCCATTTCCCACTCCAAAGTACTATTTCCCATTGTAGTTTCGTGTGAGATAGAGTTTTACCATCATTTTTCTTAAAAACAAAGAGCTTTTCCTCCTTAATCCAGAACTTTTCCTTATATAACGTACATTCAGTTATCGTTACAAACAATGCAGACTTTGGAGTCAGGTGAATGGGTTAGAATTATGGCCCCAACACTTGGGCAAGGTATTAGCCTCTTTAGCCCTCGGATTCCTGACCTCACAGCATTTGAAACATGAAATGAGGGGAAACCTGTGGACTGGCACACAGTCCTCGGTGAATGCAAGTGGTCATACCGGTGAGGGCAGTGGTGGCATTGCCAGCAGGCCTACGTCTGATCATTGCTAAGAAGTCTTTATTTCATTCAAGTAGAAACCTTACTATTTATTATTCTGTCTTTTCAGATGTCAAAAAAGGAGTTGATTCCACTAAATCCTTCTGAAATAGGCAAGCCAGAGGCTACAAGGCAAAACCAGAGTGCTGTTCCTCCCCATAGTCACGAGCCACTCCTTGGTAAGATTTCTTGGGCAACTGCCCGCCATTTTAGTTTTCCAAACACTTTCTTATCATGATATTTTCAGACAAAGGAGACTTCTAAAGCAAAGATTTTTAAAACTAAGATTTTTCCATTCAAAATCCTAAATACAATAATCATCCTCGACTTCAAGGTGGATGCTACTCAAAGCACCTGTCATTAAAAATTCTGTTATCGATGGAATTAGTTATGGGTATTGTTAATACATACCATTTACATAAAACTGAGGTACTTATATTTAGGGAAAAATGTCCATTTCCAAAAATAAGAACTTTTAAATGTACTAATCATAAAGTGTTTAAGATGTAATTATTCACTTTAACTATGTTTATGTAGACTCAAACCAAGAAAATTGAAGTGACAGTTTTATACCATCCATAACAAACATTGATCTACTGGAAATATATGTTAAAGAGAATCAAAGAACTTGAAAGAAACTGGACTTCAGCTTCACAGAGAGCCACATATTAATCATCTCAAATTCTGTTGTACTTTGGAAGATTTCTAGAGAACTTTGGCTAATCTGTAGCTGTGTGTTAATCCATGATTTCTAGATCCTCTTCCTTAGCTCTAACTTAAAACTTATTTCTGTGGTTTCTTATTATTTCCTTTTTTCAATAAAAAATCTGCATATTATCCCTTTTATTAGATTTTTCAGATTTTTGAAAGCGGATGCTTTTGTGCCAGCCTTCTCTTTCAGATTAAAGTAGTGCAGTATTTTCACAAGGCAGATTAAAGTTAAGTTTATCCTTCCAGACTCTATATAGACACATGCATAAATGCTGGCCCCTAGCTTCCAACTGTCTGGGAGTCAGTACCTTTTAGTGCTGTTATTTTCTTTTCAAAAACTCATAGATCACCTCACTTATGTGCATCAAATGAATTCTGTGCAATTTCTCTGACAGCACATGGTTATAAAAATAGGTGACCCATTTAAAAATATATCAGCCTTCTGCAATTTAAGACCTATGCTTTGCCTTCAAAATTACCTTGTATAGTATTCTAGCCTTGCGATTTTTGGTTTTTTTAAGTTTTTATTTTAATTCCAGTTAGTTAACATACAGTGTAATATTACTTTCAGGTGTACAATATAGTGATTCATCAGTTACGTACAACACCGGGTGTTCATCACGAGCGCACTCCTTCATCCCTACCATCTATCTCTTCCATCCGCCTGCCCCCCTGCCCTCTAGTAACCATCAGTCTGTTCTCTGTAATTAAGCCCCTGCTGCTTGATTTCTCTTTTTTTTTTTGCTTGCTTTGCCATTTTTAATGGTATTTATCTTTTAACCTTCAAACATCCTTACACGGATCTGTATTTTAATTTGATAGGCGAAGGTGCCCAGCTGGATTTTGATGCCCTGTGTGACGATGACACAGCCATGGCTGCCTTCATGAATTACTTTGAAGCAGAGGGGGGCCTGGGAGATCCCGGGGACTTCAGTGACATACACTGGACTCTCTAGCATTTGATTTTTAATTCTTACAAATTAGGAACGTGTTAAAGTATTTCATTGACAAAAAGCTGTATAATCTTCTGTACTATATTGATACTGTTTTTATCTTTTATTCCTATTAATAGTCTACCAATTGTTATAGATGTGCACCTTACTTCCACAGCAGTAGGGGGGGAAATGTGATGTTTCCCTTCACAAAGAAGGGCTCAGAGTTTCCGACAGACCTCTTTTCTCAGTGACATGGCTTAAAACCCACTAGTTGCTATCTTTTTGTTAAAATATTTCTCACCAAGAATATCACATACATCTTGTTTCGGTTTTATTTTCTGATGCAGTTTTTGAGTGTGGGGAATTTAATCTGTTGACATTTTCCTGTGTCTAAGATTCATTTATAATGGATTTATAATAGTAGATTTGTAGAAGTTGGGGCATCTCCATTTCTTGTATATTTCCTTAATTGAGGATAGGGCTTACACACTTTAAGAAAACTCTGAGCACTTGAACATTTAAAGAGACAGTACAATTGGTAGTCATAATTGCAGTGAATCCTGTATTCAGTCATTTTAAACTTGGGCAAGCGTAAAGCCAGGATAGTTTGGTCAAGCACTTGAGATGGGCTTTAAGTGAGAGGATTTATTTAAAACTCAGGAAAAAAAACCTAAGGGACTTTTGACTTGGTTTTACAGAAAAGGAAAGATCTTGGGCCCTAGATCTTGGTAATTATCCTTTGCATGTAAGAATTATCGCTAATATACCCAATCAAGATTTTCATTACATATAAAACCAGTTGTTGGTACAGAAAATGTGCTTAGTAAAAGATTAGCCCTTGAGGAAAAAACAAGCGCAGGCAGGTTAAATGTCTTGTGTAAAGTCACAGTTAAATTCATATTTTTAAAATGTTTAATGTGTATAAGTCCATTTCCTTATACACATTTGGGAAAGCAACGGTCTCCCTGGTTAAATGATTAGTTAACTGACCCAGGAACTAGTTGTGGCCTTCTAGAATAGGCAATTACAGTTACTGTTGTCTGTAACCAAAGGTAATTATACAAACGCTAAGTATAGTTTTGAAACTGAGGCAATAAGAAAGAATTTAAAAACCAATTTTCTAGCTATAATTACAAATTTGGAGATCAGTTTTTTAACTAATAATTGAGAGGTGGCTTATCCTGAGTACAAGAATAATATTTAAAATCGTATACGTATGTCTACGTATACGTAGACCTTGCTGAAGGTCATACTTTCATAATACTGTATGTTTTCATAGTTCTTTCTAGTTTACCAAGTGTGTTTTCATCTATTTTCTTTTGTGCCCCACGAATGAAAGTACAATAGGCTAGGAAGCTAATGGGGAAGCCGGAGGCTCGGCTGTGGAGGATCCAATGCAGTTCTCTTCCTCCATGTGGTGCTACACTCTCCAGCAGATATCTTTCCAAGCCTTGCCCCAAAACAAAGCATTATTTTGACCTTGCATATTTCTTTAGGCTGTACGTAATAGGTTAGAACTTCTGTCAAACAGGTTAATGGCAAACATACCCACAGGCAATAGTCCAAAAGCACGTGTTCCCTTCAGGTGGGACCTCTGCAGTAGCTACATGGGGAAGGATGTATTGGCACATTGTCCTCCAGCCGATACAGGGTTCCCGCGATATTGGAGGGTCAGCACCACTCCCAGTTCTGGCACTGAGGGACATGCAGGTTTACAATAAGCCAGAGAAACCCTACAAGATGGGGGAGATTGGTTTGCAGCAGGCTAAGCGTGATACTTTTAAGTCTGAAGAAGGAGGAACAATCACATCAGTTCTGTAAGTCTGAGGCCGTACCAATGTAACAGTTTAGAGTCTAAACCATTGTGGGTTGGCTTGGCCTCCAGAGTTGACCTAAGCCAGGGGTAGCAAGATGAGTCACTGTGGATGGATGGCCTTGAAAGCAGAGGGGCAAACCCTCCTGATCCAAGGATCTGGGAGACAGAGTTTCTAGAGGCCATCGATGCCACACACAGAAGCAGTTTTTTCTCTTTGCAAGAGGAAGGGTTAGTCCATAGACCGGTGGGCAGATAGCCAATTGAAGGCTTTGATCCTTTAAAATAACCCACTCAAGTATTTTTCTGTAGATCTTGTCCTGGACCCAGAATCCAATCCGTGCAAGGTAGGATAACTGTAGCTCTCCCATGTTTAGTGTTTTCTCCAAAGTGTGTTGCATTTACGCTGAATTGCTGTTAGGAGTGACAGATATTTTTATGGCTAACCCTATATTACTTTTTCTCCTACCCATTAATTTCCTGCATTTTGATGAAAAGCATCTACACATTGAATGAAATCATAAAAATATTCTAGTTCTGTCTCTTTTTTTTCCCCTAAGTCTAAGAATTACTTACAATGACATAGTGGAGTAGGGAAAAGCCTAGAATCAGAAGGAGCCCGCTCAGCCTAAATTTAGCTGTGTGACCTCAAGGAAGCCATTTAAACACTCTTTATGTGCCTCGGTTTCCTCATCTGTAACAAGAGAACTTGATCTCTCAGTTTACTTCCAGTTCTGATTCTGTGATTCTGATCCACGGGACTTGAGCTTTAGGGTCAGACTCTAGAACTGTGTTGTCTTGTATGACAGCCACAGGCCATGTGTAGCTATTGAGCACTTGAAATGTAGCTAATGCAAATTGAGATAGACTGTAAATGTAAAATGCATACCAGATTTCATACATTTAGTATAAAAAGGGAACATAAGACATCACATTAACAGTTTTATAATAGGGCACCCAGCTGGCTCAGTCAGTGGAGCATGCGACTCGATCTCAGGGTCGTGAATTCCAGCCCCATGTTGGGCATAGAACTTACTTAAAAATAAATAAAAATTTGAAAATAAATAGGAAAACTATCTTTTAAAAACAGTTTTATATTGATCATATACTCAAGTATTTTGGATATACTGAATTATATAAAACATTAACATTTTACTTTTTACTTTTTTAATGTGGCTACAAGAAAATTTTAAATTACCCATGTGGCATATATTATATTTCTATTGGACAGTGCTGCTCTAAAACATTTTATTAAGTGGATATTATTGAAGTAGACCAAAGGTTATACCATACTATGATATTTACCTCTAAATGCTATGGTTTAAGGAACAATTGTTTATTGATTCTTGATTTAGTATAATCAAATAACTGAACCTCTATCCATGTGTCAAGATTTAAAACTTTTTGAAACTAGTAAACCTGAAAATGTTATCAGTTCATTTCATTATATGATAATAACCTGAAATCAAATAAAACTTGGGGTATATGTTGACACCTTATTGCAGTCACTAACCCCGGAAATCCATTGAGAAATAGGAAAATAGAGAATGGATGCTTTTGTTAAATAAATGGGATTAAAGTATTTCATTACAGTGTCATAGTGGGAAAAGGCTATATTTATTAGTCCTATTCTTTGAGGAATTTCTATAGCATCTGGGCAGAGTAAATGAAATAACCACTACCTAGTTATTGGACCACGTTTAGTAGTGTCATTTCAGATCCTGCTCTAAAGAAACATCTACCACTCAGGTAAGTCATTGTTTGTCTCTGAAATGGAAATTCAGATTTGCCAAGCACAGTTATGAGAAGAGCAGGGAAAAGATTAAAATGATCAGAAGCCATCAAGGAAAACTGCCAAGTGGCCACTAGGTGTCACTTTTCCATTTCTAGAGTGCTTTGTTTTCATTAATTTTTCCAAGTTGTACAGGGCCTAGGGGAGGCATTTATGACTTGTATTTAGATTAGGTCTGCCTCCTGGTGTGGGTTATTTTATGAGAAATGCTTTTTAAGAGAAGTCTGGGAAGATGTTTCCCATATAATATAAGAACTTTGGTTTAAGATGCTTTCCAGATGTGGCTCCAGTAAAAGGTGACCATAGAAAGAAAACTTGTCTAACCTGGAATATGCTTTCTGAATTCACTTGAGAGTATATTGTATGTGTGTGTCACTGCTCCTACATTCCTGTGCTTAGCTTTGTTTTTTATACAATTTTTAGCTCTTTTCCAGTTTACTTGTCCTTGTCTGTATATTGGGATTTTTAAAATTTTTGTGGTAAGTAATGAAAAGAGTGAAATTAAACTATATTTTATAATAATTACCAGTTTGAAGTTTTTTAAACTTATTAAACCTCCTCCAAAAAAGTTATCTCCTTAACTACTTTCTAAAGTGGAAACATAGACTAGATGATCCAATCTTCTCAAACCACTAGGCAGAGAGGTATATTGAACTACATTACTCTGTCTATATTTGTGTGTGTTTGTGAGGGTACGCTAACTGCTGTAACCATCCTCCTGTCCACAGTGGCACTCAGAACTTCCCAGTACATGTTCTTCTTCTACGTGCCAATCTCAGTGGAAAGAGAGCTTCTCTATTTCCTAGTAATTCACACAAAAATGTCCATTGTTTGGGCCTTTGGATCAACTTGGTTCACATAGATTTTCCTGGGGTCACCAGGCTGGAATACAGATTGGTTGGGTTTTGGTTACATGCCCAAACCAATTTTTGTTTTTTGTTTTTTGTTTTTTTTTAAGATTTTATTTATTTGACAGAGACACAGCGAGAGCAGGAACACAAGCGGGGGGAGCGAGAGAGGGAGCAGCAGGCTTCCCTCTGAGCAAAGAGCCCGATGCAGGCCTCGATCCCAGGACCCTGAGCTCATGATCTGAGCCGAAGGCAGATGCTTGATGACTGAGCCACCCAGGCGCCCCCCAAACCTGTATTTTAAAGGCATCCTTGAAAGGGAAAAGATATCAAAAATAGCCAGCTGCCTGACATTCTAGGGCCAATGGAAAGAATGGGGACATGTGCAGCAAGGACAATGGAAAACTTGGAATTTATGATGGTTGAGGATTTTGGAGGATTGTGGGGTTAGCTATGGGAACCTGGAGTCTTGTTTTTGGTTGTTCGGGGGGGGGCGGTGAGAGGATAGTGAGTAGCAGCAAGGTGTGTCATGTGTTTGTAACATTGGTCATCTTTTTTAATACCCAGCCACCAGATGCTTTGGAGGACTCTGTCTATTGCTTCAGTCAGTGTGTGTTTAGAGACTCCATAAAGAGTTGTCTTAAGTTCTTGTCCAGCTGTGTGTCTCTGGCGTAGGATGTATTTTCTTAGGCACTCCTAGTTCTTAAGCTCACATTTAGGTAGTATTTTCCACATTTATTCTTGTCTATGAGGAAATCAGTCCCATTTTACCTTGCGAATAAATAGGTCACATTTTTTTGTGATAATTTTTTTCTTCAAAAGACAACACTAAAATAAGAAGGCTAGATTATGGAGATTTATAAGTTAATGGAACTCTTGAA